ATATCTGTAATTAATGGGGTTTACAAATGACTCAATCTGCTTCCCACCTGAGTCCAGGGCTTGGGGAGCAAAGTGATGAATGGCCAAAGAGATGATTTTAGCCAAAGGTAACTGTGCAGCACAACACAGAGGCCTATTATTACTTTTTTTGTAATCTGCAAAGAATTTAACATGTTTCTGGCCTTCAGTATGATTTCTTGGTGGATGGAAGAAGGAGGCCCTGAGCAATGAGCATATCCATTACTTTCTTATTAAAACTCTAGGCATCATTCCCTGGTGATGAAGTGCCTCTGCCATGATTAAGACTCTAGAATTATTAAACCACCCTGAGTCTCAAAGATGATTTAGAAATGTGCCTATGGAGAGTTGTCCTAATCAGGTGCTTTACAGAGGAAGAGCCATGCAGCCATATACCCACGTACCCAGCCTTGACCTCTTTGGAACAAGGATCATTGGCTCAGTAAATAAATGCTTTCCCTTTCTTACCAATTTGCTTTTCCTGAACGCTTTCCTTATATTTTTAACTTAGTTCCCACTTTTCATGAATGACAACCCCTCCCCGCCACATTCAGTGTGAAGACATGGTTCTGTAAGGCACTCATTGTGATCACCATTATCAAAAAGCACAATGACAATATTTCTTCTGGAGTCTTCCATTGTAGACATAATGTATGCACTTCCTACTCTCTGACTGCTCCCTTCTTCCCCACCTACCAGGTGCCTTTTCCATCTTCCAGCTCACCCATCACAGTTGTAGAGCTTACACCACAATTTTGCTTGGAACAGTTTTAACATTGACATTCTTATAACTATAAAACTTTTGGGCCTTGATTTCATTTCTTGCATAACTCCCTGACTTAAAGGAAGTTAATAACTCTGTGTGTGTGTTCATTTATTTCATATAAACACCACTGAATCAATCCCAAATTCTCCCCAGGAGTCTAAATCTGTCCCAGAATGTTCAAACAGAGGTAGCGCACAGTCTTTCAGTTTCACCGTCTTGCAGCCATCGCTCCTGGCACCTCCTGACCTGCTCTATTCCCCATTGTTGCCCTCTACACCTGGTGCCTAATTTCCCCCCTGCAGTTTCCCCCCATGGCAACCATGGAGATTTCCTTTGCGTCCATTTTATGTTGATCTTCTGGTTGTCAGATCCCATCTCTGCTTTCTTGGCCACTCCCTCATTTTACTGTAATATCATGTTGAATGACTTCCTAGAAATTTGATACATAAGAGGAAAATTGAGGCCATGCAAAAACGTCTTTATTCTGCTTTCATCCTTGATCAGTGATTCTTCTGTGTAAATAATTCTAGGTTTGAAATCATTTCCCTCCAAATTTTGAAGGTATTTTTAAATTTTCTGTTAGTTCTAGTGTAACGATTAAGAATTGTGATACCAGTCTGATTGTTTCTTCACACCTCCTCCCACTCATCTCCCTTCTGCTAACCGTCTGTTCTCATTTTTGAAGAGTCTATGTTTTTGTTTGTTTGTTTGTTTGTTAATTAATTTCTTAAATTCCACATATGAATGGAATCATATGTTATTTGTCTTTTCTTAATTAACATTTCATTTAGCATTGTACTGTCTCATTCCACCCATGGTGTTGCAAATGGCAAGATCGAATTCTTTTTTATGACTAAGTAATATTCCATATGTTATACGGGATTATATATATAATATGTATAACGGATCTCTTTACTTTGGTATAGCCCTGGTAGTTTAATTTACACACACACACACACACACACACACACACACACGTGCATACCACATCTATTTTATCCATTCATCTATTAGTAGACACCTGAGTTGCTTCCATATCTTGTCTATTGTAAATAATGCAGCAGTAAACAGAAGAGTGAATATATCTTTTCAAATTAGCATTTTCATTTTCTTTGGGTAAATAATAGTGTAATTACTGGATCACATGGTATTTTTAATTTTAATTTTTTGAGAAATGCCCCTACTGTTTTCCACAGTGGCTGCACCAGTTTGCATTCCCACCAACATTACTCTAGCACACCCCTTTTTTCCATATCCTCACTAATGCTTCTTATTTACCATGTCTTTTTTATCCAAGTGTGAACACTTGGATAAAAGATTTCCTGAGTGAGCCAGCAAGCCCCTGCTAGCCCTTACCATAAATTAGATTAATATTGTTTTGAGGGAAATGGCCCAGCAAGATGACACCCAACTTCAGACTCTATATAATAAAGCAAAGAGCAGTCATTATTCTAAATACTTTCAATGCTGAGTAAAATCGAAGGATTTCTTAATCAGGATCACCATTATTTTAAAAATGTCCTATCTCTTTATCACTGGGAAATTAACTTGAACTTAAAATCATATGCCTCGGTACAAAGTTTGTATAAACTTAATGGGTGTGCTTAAATGTCATAATTATATTGTCTAACCTGCCTTAAATATCTAGCTAATGACCTTACCAATCCACTGATAAGGACTTTTCCTGAAGTCCCCAGGGTCTGTCTCTGCTAGGCCTACTCTGGTTTCTCTAATCTAAAGAGGTTCAAATGAAATTGTTTTTTCAACAATATATCTCACACAGTTGAGTCATTCAACAAATGTCACAAGAAAGAATGTCTTGTGAGTCAAGACTGCAGAGGCGGTTGGGTGGTCACCACCAGGTAGGACTTTGCAAGCCAAAGAAAGGATGTTGGTCCTAATCCAAGAGGCGAAGTGTTTTCACGGGAGGTGGTGCCACATTACATATTATACCTTGCAAAGGCCCCTCTGGCTCACAGAGGGGAACGGATGGAAGAGCAAGCAAAGAGGGACTGGGTAGTGAGTTAGTGTTGTGGTTCAGGCAAGAGGTGATAGACGATGATGGGAGATGTGACCAGCATGACTGCACTGATGCAGGAGACGTAGTGCAAGATGCGTATAACACATCTACATTTTGTGTTATAATATTGGATGGGTGATGGCGCCATTGCTGGGGCATTCACGTGGAAATTTTGACTGCCATTTTGATGGAAGTGTGTAGAACTCCAAAAGTTATGTGTGGGCCATAGATAGACATCTGAGAAACTTGATATCATGGCAAGAAAAGGACGGGTTAACCCACCGTGTCTCTAGACCTAATGAATACCTGCATCGGAATCCCTTGGAGCTGTCTGGTTAAAATGCAGAGTTTTAGAGCCATCTCAGAACTACAGAATCAGAGTCGGTGGGAGTAGAGCTCAAGGAATTTTTATTTTTTTAACAAACGCTCCAACTGATTTCATAAGCACTCTGTATTTGAGATCCATTGTCCTAGAGACAGAGACACCCCTGAGGAGCTCTAGCAGTTACTGTCTCAGTGGAAGAGGCTGGACCTCCATGCATTTTATTCTCCTTACTTACTTAAAAAAATGAAAAATACAGCTCAGGTTTCCCTTTAGAGCTGATTTTCTATCTAGATTAATCTCGCAATTCACATAAAATTAACACTCCTGCTCCCCGAGGTCCACATGCAAGAAACTCAGCTCTGACTCACATAACTTGGGCTGATCACCCAGCTTGAGCCCTTGTCCTTTGTTTCATAGGTCCCGTTTCCTCCCTCTCCCAGGCCCTGACCTTTTGACTCATCCCTTTCCCTAGAAAGACAGCCTTTCCAATGAGCAAAATGTCACATTACCTTTGCTGAACAGGACATTTCAAATAAAATATTAGCAATAACAATTACCTCTAAGCCACTAATCCCTCTGAAGCTACTTTAAACCACCAAAGGATTTAAGGCAATTCCCTGAAAATATCTCCGGCTTAATAGATTATGGTGCCGGGCGATGAAATATATTGGCTCACGTAGCCTTAACTTGCATTATGTGGCATTTTTACCTATAAAAGAAAAGTCATGACACAAACTGCTTCAACTATTATTTGATGTAAAAAAACCAGATCCTGCAAATCATCATCATCATCATCATCATCATCATCCTGTAGCGCACATCACATGGCATCAATATTTCCTTAACCAGAGTCTTACTGCAAAGAGAAGCCACCAGAAAACAAAATAACTATTCAGGTACTCATTTCCCCAGGCGGGTTGGCAATTTGCTGTGGCCAGCATATACAAGAGCATTCTAGAAGAACGCTTTCCTCGGCAGTGCGCGAGGGGCGTGGATTAGAGGGTTGATGTTAACTGTGAGCTCTCATCCTTCAGGCTGGCTTCCTTTGCCACAGCTGAATTTCTGGAAACATACCTGTATGTTTCTGCATGTTGGTTCACATACAGAAACATGCTTTCTGGAAAAAAATGTGTGTGAGACCCTACTTTTAAAATACCTTGGAGGTGTTTGTTTGTTTGTTTGTTGTTGTTTAGAGATGAGTAAACCAATGTCGATTAAGTGAAGACATTTCCCCTCTGTTCTCTAGTCTAGACAGTCAGTGCCCAGGTCAGTACTCTTGCCCAGTCCTCCTAGGCGCCTTCTCCACTATGCTGCCCACTGTCCTAGGGAGATGTCCCTGATCCATTAAGTCAGGCACAAAATAGTGATGACTGATGAGCTCAGGCTTTGAAAACAAAGGCCAAAGGCTCTGCAAGTCCATTTCCAATTCTTGCAGAGGTGGTGCTTCCACAAGCTCTTGACGGTGGCTCACCTGATGTTCATTTTCTTTCTTTTTTTTTTTTTTTTAATATTTTTATTTATTTCTAGGAGAGAGAGAGAGACAGACAGCGTGAGCAGGGGAGGGTCAGAGAGAGAGGGAGACACAGACTCCGAAATAGGCTCCAGGCTCTGAGCTGGCAGTCAGCACAGAGCCCGACGCGGGGCTCGAACCCACGAACCGCGAGATCATGACCTAAGCGAAAGTCGGACGCTTAACCGACTAAGCCACCCAGGCGCCCCTGATGTTCATTTTCTTAAGAGCACAGCATAGAAATAAGTATCTCTTGCCCTCCCTTCTCCAAGGAGAAACTGAAGTCAGCCCTTTGTGTCTTCATCACTCCCCCCATGTGGTATGAGACAGGGTAGATGGTTTAGCTACATTATGTCCTTACATGACAGATGGGCAGCATACATCTTTCCTTGTGTAAAAATGTCACTGCAGCTACAGATATAGTTGGAGGCTGAAAATGGAAAGTGATACAGATTAGCTTTAACCTAACAGGACAGGCAGGAACTCGAATAAAATACACAGACCCACCTTCTAGGATCAGTCGGTCTCCAATCCTCACTAGCAATTGACAGACAATAGGGGAAAATCAGAGCATCAAGAATCTGGAGTATTTCCAGGTGGTGGAAATGTAATTCACCATGATTTTTATCTGTCCTGAGGAAATGGGCTTGAATTCGAAAGGGAATGCAACTTTTGTATCTGCCTGCGTGAAATGGATTGGAAAGACTACAAACAGTTAAAAAATTTGGTTCATAATAAACCAAAGGATATTCTTTGTCCCTTACTGATTGTCTAATGAAATTTAAAAATATAAATAGAGGCCCTAGAAATTTCTTTTCTCCACGCATGTAAAAATATAAGCATCACGTATAGGAGGATTAGGAGGAACTTGACGGAGGACCAAGGGGGAGAAGAAGGGCGGAAATGGTGGGGGAAAGGGAGAGAGGCAAACCATGAGAGACTCTTGAATGCTGACAAAAACTGAGGACTGATGGATGTGGGGGGGAGGGGGGGATGGGCATGAAGGAGGGCACTTTGGGGATGAGCACTGAGTGTTATGTAAAAACTAATTTGACAATAAACTATTTGTAAAAAAAAAAATGATAAAAAAAAAATAAAAAGGAGCTAAATATAAAAAAAAAATATATAAGCATCAATGTTTCATATCCTCAGTGATATATTTTGAGTGGTAATAAAAGCGACGTATCAGTTTTATTCTAACACCAATAATTAAGGAAATAGAAAAGAAATATGTCAGAGAACCTAGCATTCTCTGGGAAAGTTTAACACCAGGTTCTGGATGGAGAAAAAAGGTGAGAGGTGTGAGGCCAGCGCCCTTTTTTTTCTACTTTCCTTTCTAAACTGTCTTTTGGCCATTTTCATTGTTATTTATGAACAATAATAATTCACATTGATGATAACATAGTTCGGCACTCACATCCTAAAGACAAAGTTTACTTACTTTATGGAGATAATTTCTAGGGAAACTCCACCTTGGGGTGATATTTAATGCTTTTGCAGAGTTATTTCATTATTTTCACTCACATTTTATTGCTTCTAAAAGTAACTTAAAATGTGAAAAGAAATATTAAATTATTTGCTTTCTTTATTTAAAAATTTTTTATGTTTTTTTTTAATACTTGAGAGGTTAAGAAAGAGAGAGTGCGTGCACGAACAGGGGAGGGGCAGAGAGACAGATTCTGAAGCAGGCTCCAGGCTCTGAGCTGTCAGCACAGAGCCCGATGCAGGGCTCAAACTCGGGAGCAGTCAGATCATGTCCTGAGCTGAAGTCGGTCGCTTCCCAGATTGAGCTGCCCAGGTGCCCCTTAAATTATTTGCTTCTAAAGAGAAAGTTGAAATATGAATATATGTATTATTAAACATTTAAAACAATAATCCACACTTTGAAAATGGGCGAAAGACATAAACAAAGAGGAAGAAGTATATGCGGTAATTAAACAACATGAAAATGTTTGACCTTATGTTTTGAAGCAAAAGGCTACTTGTAGGGTGTAGAACACACCTTACCTGAGCAGTTGCAACACAGCGTGGGTGATGCTGATGTGGGCCGGGGAGCAGCAGTCCCCCCAACCACTGCTGGAGAGGGCTCGTGGGTGGCATTCCACCAAAGAGCCTGACTCCTGACTAGAGTAAGATGGAGAGACTGGAGACATACTTCAGACTTTCAATGAATAGGACTGTGTGATGGATCGACTGAGGCCTGTGAAGAAGGAGAGGTACTTATGGAGTAAGAGTCTGCAGTGACTCTCAGATTTACGATTGGGATCCCAGCAAGGAAGGCAAGAAAGGGGATACAATTCCTCATTTCCAAAGCATGTCGAGTATCCCAGTCAAGAAACCCACACACAACAAAGACAACTTTTAGGGTTCCACAGTAACTTTCCACTTGAAATTTGTATCTGTCTTTTTTACGCACTTCATACGTCTGTTGACAACTGATGTGAACTTTCCCAACCTCCAATACGTTTTATGTTGTGTTCTTCCCCCCCCCTTTTTAAAAATTGTTTTAAGTTTCTTTATTCTGAGAGAGAGACAGACGAAGTGAGCAGGGTGGGGGCAGAGAGAGAGAAAGACAGAATCCCAAGCAGGCTCCACGCTGTTGGCATAGAGCCCTACACAGAGGTCGAACTCAAAAACAGTGACCTGAGCCAAAACCAAGAGTCAGACACTCAACCGACTGAGGCACCCAGGTACCCCATCCCCTTCTAAGTTGTTTTGGCAAGTGGGCTTCAGATGACTGCAGTAAAGGCAGCTCTCCCTCCCTTGTATGAATCCAGCCCCTTCCTAAACACTTGTACATGACTGTGGCAGGTTTACCACATGCGTTTATTCATAGAGCCAAGTAGGAACAGGGATGTGGAAACAGAAAAAAAAAAAAAAAATCCCCTTTGTTTTGCTCCCATCAAATGAAACCAGTGTCTTAACCTTCTAAAAGGCAGTTTCCTCCTCAGTCCAGTAGTTACCTCTACACACCTTGTGAGAGAGAGCAGTGCAGCGGGGAGCCATCCTCTCTGTGCTTCGTTCTCTTCCAGGGTCACAGATGACGTTTGCCAGAGAGGTAGAGGCAGGGGTTTCCAACCATTTGGTGTGTCATATCTGTGCACTGTAAATTGTCGCAGTGGTCTGCCAAATCTTGATCCAGGTTTGCAGATGCCTTTTGTGACAACTCTCCATCTGAGTAGACAATTCAGACAGTTAACTGCCTGATGGAGCGTTTTGCTGAGTGGATTGTGTTGCACGATGCGAACAGTAGGGTCGTACAGTAGACTAAGTGGGAAGGCAAGCAGAAAGGCACGTCAGCACCCAAGTGAAGACCATGTCCTGAAATATGTAAAATCTTGGTTCTGTGCTTGGAGGTATATATATAATCATCAGGCCCCTTGTACAAGCAGTGATATTCTGCTCGGGAAAATTTTCATATTAAAAGTATAAAACTTTGGTACCTTCAGAGGCTTATGTAGTAGTAATGATGAAAGTGCCATCATTATCAGCTCAATCAGTTTTTCTTTCGGTCTTTAATCTCTTCAGCTGTGTTCCCCCAAATTCCAACATTTCCAAGAGTAACCTAAACAAAGAGATTGGGAATCAGTGCAGTAAGTCACCACCTCTGATTGAACTGCCTGATGCATTGAAGCTGCCCTCCCCCTAGGGCCAGTCTGACTCTGAGCCAGGTTTCTCCACAGTCCCCTGGGGAAAGTGGGGAGAGACGCTTCCCTGCTGCATGGGTGCCTGGAGCGCGGATTCCCTAGACGCTGCGTCATTGCCTTCAGGGAACAAGCGTCTTTCTTGAGTAGTACCTTGCCCTGGAGAGGAGAAGCAGGCTCTGGATGAAGCTCCAGTTCTGTCATCTGCTCACGTCCCCACCTTAGGGGGACACTGGGTCACACAGTGTCTTTTTCCTGCTTTGTTTTCTTTCATATTCTTGGGACCCATTGTCAATCTTGTCTGCAGATAAATCCTCCTTTGCACCTTCAGAATGTGTCTCTTCCGCTTTACAATGTATTTTATGTATTTATCTTTTGATATATTTAAGCTTATGTGTGATAAACATTAAATGGGTGTCATTATAACACAGAGGCTCTGGGAATTGCAGTGGTCCCATCAGCTACTTGAATGTCATGACCAGATATTGAAAGGGCAGACGACAGTTAGGTTCTGTCTGGATTTTTTTGTGCAAGTATTTTATTTTATCCAGCTAATACATGCATATATATTTAAAAAATAAAATGCTCCCAAAAGGCTTATGACAAACAGCAATTTTCTACCCTATCCCATCCCACCTTGTGTTGAATTCCTCTAAAGAAAACTCCTTCACTCCCCGTGCTTGTCTCCTCTGCATTTCCAGAAATATGTGTACACTACTTTTATCCATGTTAGTTGTTATCTAGTAGTTTCTTCTCACAGTAGACAAGGGTTAACCCTCATCACTCACCACCTCTCCTCTCTCCCATCCTCCCAAAATAGCTACCTGCCGCTTTGGAATAAATCACTTACCAGTGTTGATGCAATTCTGCCTGAGTATATATTGTTAACTACACAGGCAAGTATATGATGACTGCATTCACCTTCCTGATCAAGTTTTTGTTCTCCTTGAAAATTCGTCTCACTAGTTTCCTAGCACCATCTGGAAACTCCATATTATCATTACTGAATCCTGCTCCTGGACTGCTGCATCTTCCTGGTTCATTTGGAGTTAGTCACTCGTGAGAGCAGTGCTTTTCAGTAGAATTTTGTGTGATGACAGAAATTTCTGTATCTCTCCTGTCCAGTGTAGTAGCCACTAGCCACGGGTAACTATTGAGCCCTTGAAATGAAGCTAGTGTCACAGAAACACTGGAGTTTTCAGGGGGTTTTTGTTTGGTTTTTTTAAAATATTTTAATTTATTTTTGAGAGAGAGAGAGAGCAGGTGAGGGGCAGAGAGAGAGGGATACACAGACTCTAAAGCAGGCTCCAGGCTCAGAGCTGTCAGCACAGAGCCTGACTTGGGGCTTGAACTTGGGAACTGTGAGATCATGCCCTGAGCAGAAGTTAGACACCCAAACGACCGAGCCACTCCGGTGCCCCTGTGATTTTCATTTTTAAAAATTTAATTGGTGTGTTTTAATTCATTTACATATAATTTAATTATTACTACAATCATTGGATTAAAATATTTTATCTTGGTATTTGTTTTATCCCATTGCTTTTTCCTCCTCTATTTCTCCTTTTCTTACTTCTTTTAGGTGTATGGGTTATGTTTTAGTACTGATTTATATAACTGTTTCTGATTTTATTTCCTTAATGGTTGATTTTGAAATTACAATATGTATCTTTAAGTCCTCCAAGTCTCCCTTCAAACAGTTCTTCATGAAAAGTACAGGAGTCTTAACAAGAGCATGGGTTTATTTTTCCCTTTGTGCCCTTTGAGCTAATGCAGTTCTTATACTTCATTCCTTCCCCACACCCCATCCTCAGAAAGCATCTAAATTGTTTTTGCTTTAACTGTCAATAGTCTTTTAAAGCAATTTAAACTTTTATAAAAACAATATAATACCCATATACATACATACATATATACCTTTAAAGGCACTAAAAAATAAAAGCCTTTGTAAATATTCCTAAATAATTCCTTTCTGGTGTGGGGTTCCATCTCTGAGCCCATTCTGTTTTCTAAGTCCTGTGTGTGTGTGGTGGAGGTGTAGATGGTGGACTCCTAGCTGTGGCATTTTTTGTATGGAATGGGAGATAGATTTTGAACATTGACCTCTCCTTATACTAAAGTTGGACCAATCTTTCTATTTTTTTTTTAATTTTTTAATGTTTATTTATTTTTGAGAGAGAGACAGAGCATGAATGGGGGACGGCCAGAGAGAGTAGGAGACAGAATTCGAAGCAGGCTCCAGGCTCTGAGCTGTTAGCACAGAGTCCAATGCAGGGCTTGAACTCATGAACCGAATCTCAAGATCATGACCTGAGCCGAAGTCGGACACTTAACCTACAGAGACACCCACACGCCCTGCCAATCTCTTTTTGACCCCCCAACCACTGATATGCCAGAACCAATTCCTGCCAACCAAAGAGCCAATCATGCACATTTTTTCTCAGTGAATCCCACATTCAGTGATGGCATGGTGATAGCTTGAAATTGGCCATGAAGGTGTACTTCTACCACAAAAACCAATCAATGCTGTAAATTGGGGTTTGCTTTCTCTTTTCTTCCTTCCTTCCTTCCTTCCTTCCTTCCTTCCTTCCTTCCTTCCTTCCTTCCTTCCTTCCATTCTGTCATTCTTTTTCAGGGAGCTGTTTGTAATACATTGAGCACACCACTGCCTATGTCTTATTCTCACCATCTACTGTGCCTGACACTGCCATGATGTAGGGAAGGAGGCTGATTCTTTCTGGTTCATATCCCCGTAAACTCCCTGGACTCTTACTTCCCTTGCCCTGCCATATCTGGCACCTTCTTTGTATGCTGGGGACATCCTTCTTTTTGTCCATGTGGGCTTATACACTTTGTTACTATTTGGCAGCAGCATGTATAACTAATTTGGTCATCTTTGTCTAAAAAGTCCTAGCTTTGTCTTTAAAAGTAGAAACAACAAAGAAATACGCAACTTCGGGAACTCAAGAAGGCTTAGTAATGAATCAGGCCTGATACCCAAAAGTTTTAGTAAGCTCCACATTCATCCAGTTTACCTTTTAATCTTAAGAGGGAAAAAATGAGGATAATGAGCAGCTATTTTGCATCTCTAATGAGGGGAAAATGAAGAAAATTAGTCTTTACTACCAAATGAATCATTTAGATGTCAGTAATTCAATTCAAGTTAACATCTATTGAGTGATTACTATGTGCTACCCAGCATGCTAGGTGCTGGGGAGACAGGAAGGAACAAGGCAGATATAGCCCAGCCATTGCAGAGCTTAAAGTAGAGCAGGAGAGACAAGTAATTTCAAACACCTCTACAAATATCTGCTAGAAGAGAAAAAGTACTGTCCACCCTAGGAGCACATGACAGGTTTAGTGTAATCTCGGGGGTCAAGAAAGGCTTCCCAGAGAAAACGAGGCTCTACCTGAGACTTGAAGGCTGAGGGACAGCATTCCTTTGTGGCTGCAAATAACAGAGACCTCATAGCTTGTTTAAACAAAGATGTAATTTGTTAAAGAACATTAGGTGGCCTTCACAACCTCCAGAAAGATCAGAGAACCAGCTTGGGAGCTATGAAGCCATAAATCATGCCCAAATCAAGCCATCAGACTCTTCTTAAAAGGCTTCTCCTGCCACTGGCACAGGCAGAGCCTCTCTGCTGGAGCCACTGAGGAGTTGCGGTAAAGCTAGCACTGTGCTATTGCCAATGCTGCCTCTAAAAGAGGAATGTCTCTCTTCTCTCCTTGCCAGAATGTCCATCCTGTTTTCCTGTTACCTTTTTATAAACTTAAATCTCAAAAAAGGTGTGTTTTGCCAGGACTGAGTAACATGAGTGTGTCCTAGCCCCAGGCTGAGAAGCCTGAGAAATTGAGTTTGTCCCATCTATTTTGAGTTGTGGGAATCAAAAGATGGGAACCCCTAAAACACAGAATCCTTAAAAGGCACTTAATGGCCCAAAAGTATGAAAAATGCCTTTCCCAGAATGCCATTGTTGCTGGATTTCTAGTGATATTGTTTGGATTTGATGTGTATATAGCTGTTATTTCAATGTGACTACACCTGAGATTTTACATAGAATCACAGCTCTTAAAACTGAGAGTGCTATCTAGAGATCACCTGGCTGAGCCCCCACCTTTTAGAAAGGAAATTGTTATCCCCACTACAACAGCAGAGACAGGTAGGTCCTTGGAGGTCAAACAACCAGTAAGTGACAGAGCCAAGCCCAGAATTCTTATCTTCTGGGTGTTCACTTCCTTCTACCACCCCTTGGATGAGGGACAGCAGATGAATATATAACATGTGTGGGAATGGCTGGAAGTAGCAAAGAACAAGACCAGTAGCTTAAGTTAGGAAGGTCACGATGGAGATGAATCAAGGTGGGCACATGGTAGAGATGTATAGGTTGTAAGATGGACAGGGCTTTGCAATAGATTAGATATAGCAAGCGGTGGAGAAGAAAGAGTTAAGGTTGGTCTCCAGTTTGAGGCTGATTAAACCAAGTGATGATGCTTTTTCCTATAATAGATAAAAGAGTCTAAAGTGGGAGTGGAAGGTAGG